ATGCATTTTATGTAAATCGCCTGACCAGCACACTTAATATTAACGAATTCCCCCCTTCTTCTTATGTTTCGTTGCCATTTTTTTTTTTTTTTCTATGGCATATTATCGATAATAATATATATTTCTTAATCTGTCACTTAATAGCTTTTTAAGCAACATTCTCATCTCAAAACAGGAAAGATTTGAATAAGAATCTTCTAAAATGCACGTATATATCGTTTGATCCATTGAGGAGATAAAGTTTGAAAAAACACTAGATTGGCATATAAGCACAATTAAAATGTGTAGCTGAAAGACACAACGTATTGTCGTCGGTCATTCAATTCGTTTTATTCAGTTATTTTGCAATAAAATTTGGTTGCATTAACAAGCGAGCGACTTAGTAGAAGTGGCAAAAATTGTGTAAAATAAATAAAAACAATAAATATACAAATGTGCTCGTATTATTGCAGCATAACAGTACATTCGCAACATAAGGCAAATAAAACATTGGACCCACGAACCGACCGCACCGAAAAAAATATATTTATGTTCAATTCGAATAAACACAAACAAAAGCTGCGAAAAAAAAACTTTTTTTTTTTTTTTTTAAAAGGAATAAAACCAACTAAAGGAATTGTAGTCAGACAAGGTCGACCGTTAAATGCTATACACTATATCATCTAATTTTCACGATAAAATATCTAAACATCAAAAAATATATTTTGTTTTCATGTAGTCGTAGCACTGGGAGCATTTATAAAATAGCAGATCAAAAATATGAGTTCAAATTTAATTTCTTTTTCGAAGCTCTCCTCATTCTCTATCTATTTTTATCATAAATTGGATTAAAAATTAGACTGAGATTAGACCTTGTTCTCATAAAATTAAATATCACTTACAGAGTGGGGTCTAACAAATAGGCCATTCATATGTCGAATTACTATTATGAACTAATTTTCATTATAAATTCTTAACAAGTAGATACTTTTGCCATATGAAGATTGACTTTTCGTTCAAGTTTCCAAAAATGGGGATTTACAATACGATTTATTCACACCAATCTAATATTTGTCACGATTTCTGTCGAGAAAATTTGAAAATTTTAATTTCGTCCAATACGATCCGTGTTCAATAACGTGTGCCCCTACACCGAAACAGGTCAGCTAACTAAACTAAATTACGCCCTAAATTTATCTCAGAAATTACGATTTGTAGTTTGTGCACAAAATACTTCAACAGACTTAAGACAGTCTGGCATAATAGTTTAAATAAATTTAGAAAATGATTTTGAATCGATCGCTATAATAAAAGTTGTCTCTGCTTGAAATTCTCTTAAGTCTCTCATACATTTGCATGAACTTATAATATACTCCTTAACACAAGTGATGTAGCGTAGAAAAATATACAAATATATTTATATATATGAACCATTTTTAGTGGGAAATAACATCGGTGGCCGGCCGACACTGACTTAGTTAGTGCTGGATTTAAATATGTACCAATAAAATGAATCAAATACAAAAAAAAAAAAAGAAAAAACAACAAACAGCATGGTCAACACCTTTACTAGCGCAACTCATTGTAGAGGGGTGAATGTGTGCAAAGCGTAGATTTGATGAAAAAGTCACAGATGCATGTGCATGCATTTTTATCCATCTACGTATGAAGTGAACGAGTATACGCATACAATGCGTTCGTACAATATAAAAACATATTCGTATTACAATCCAATGAATTATTGTAAATTGTTGAAACCAAATCAATTGTGTAAACGAACTTAAACGACAACCGATTAAGTATCAAGCTTAAGTCGACTTTTTAAGTAGCTACGAGCACATCCAATGAAAAATATATGAAATGTTTGCCACTTTTAATGACCTGAAGATCTGTTTCTCTATTGACATATTTAATATTTAAATGAACTTTTTTATAATGGAGCACTAAGCCCTTGACTGTTGCCTTGAATGCGACGAACAGCAGCCATGCCTTTGGGCGAATTTCTACTATGTTTCGAAACAACTTGAAACCTATTCAATACACAATCTCTTTTTTTTAAAACTCCCCCCTTAAACGATAAATTAGAAGTTTCATTGGTACATCAGTTCTATGTTAATGATTGATTTTGACCCAATATTCTTGAGAATGAAATGGACGGATTGTCTCAGTAAGTTTGACAAACCTATATTTTAGCGAAACAAGATTTTCACACTACGCAATATATAATTATAAGCGTTACTCACGACTTTTATTCAAAAGACTTTTTTGAAAACATTCAGATACTATTATTATAGGCGATTTCTATCAACAAGTACCTATTTTATTATATTCTTTGCAAACAGTACTACTTCGATTCACGTATGCAATTATCAAAAAAAAAAAAAAACAAAAAAAAACTTTGAATTTTTTCGACTTTTTTTTTCATCCTTCATCCGTAATATTTGTTATCGACTTTGCAAATTATGGGCAGGTGTACAATTGTTACAACCGTAATTATAGTCGATGGTTAAAATCCAGCTTTTCTTATTTTCAAATTATCGAGAATGAACAATAGGTTAAACGGAGTTAACCACCTAATCATCGATATCTAACCTTTGCGAATTCTAAACCATAATCTAAAACAACAGACTTGCTGTGGCTTAAATGTGGCTACTACTGGGCTGCGGCGGTTATCGCCATAAGCTTATTTCTGATTCGAACGATGCATTTGCCATTGAATTTGTGCGCTTGTAGACATTAGGAAGACACAAGTCGTGCCATGTTCAATTATGATAAAAGCGTTAAGACTAGTCATTCTTTTTCATTTTTTTTTTTTTTTTTTTTTGTTTTTTCTTTGAATTATTTGAACGTTTTTGTTAAATCGCGATAGCGAAGCACTCTCTCCGGTTATTGATTTGAAATGAAAATAAAATGTAGAAAAATAGAAAATTTGACACGTTTATGTCAAGGCATTTTTGTATTCGAAATATTTTTTTAAAATAAAATTTTAGTTACAAAAAAAAAAAAAATAAAAAGAATAGAATTTTAAATCAAATGAGAAAGCCAGAGTTTATCAGTTAAACAAAAAATTGTAAATTTTCGTTGGATATATTACATGCATATATATCGTCTTTTCAATGAATAAAGATTGGCATAGCTGAAAAATACAGGATTTATGAAAAACAACAAGAAGGGTTAAAATGGACAAAAAACCAAATCCTTGATATGCTATACGTATGACGCGATGCATATAACAAGTTAATATTTGATACATCGAGCAAATGCTAACATGGTCTGTAATATGTGATCTGTTCAAAATCATCATCTGTAAGCTACTAACAAATTGCATGAAGACTTATCTATCCCTTTATTTGAAGGCTTAGATGAAAAAAATTAAATAAAAATTCGATAATCTCTAAAAAAAAACTATGAAAATTTGACGCAAACATAAAAAAAATTAAATAACATGAACAGTGAATATTGAATGTTCGTATACGTAAGAGTGTAAAGGCCTATCCTGTAGATAAATAAATATAAATATAAAACTAATTAAATTAATAACTTCATTAAACTTAACACATACAACTTCGTGTTTACATTGAACACTTGTTACAACAACAACGTAGCGAATTTTCTCAAGAAGAAGAAAAAGAAGAAGAAGAATAAATATGCTTGAATAATAACCCTAATCCAGACATTGACCTTGAAATATAAGTTAATCAACAAACCATAATGGCATCTAAACTGATGTCAAGAAAGAAACTTAAAATAAAATCGGTTCAAAAGCCAATCTTTAAACAATGTATGCGTCGTATTAACTTTAAAATTTTTCAAATAAAAGATAAATAATATTTCTATGCAAACAATAAGTTTTACATTTCATCAATTAACGCAGGATGGATGAAGTTCGATATTAACCCGGTTTATTTATCAAAAATTAATTTGGGTGCAATCGCCACGATAGACTCTTAATGTACATATGTCCTTTTCTCGTTTCTTTTCTTTTTTTGTGATCATTTTGTATTTCTCAAAATTATTTTAGAAATTATTTAGAACTTTTATTGAAATTCGTTGCAACTTTACTTGGGGCAATGTACACTTCGATAACTGCGAAGGTGTTGTCAAGAACCTTAAACCACGAAGAATGAAAAAAATTGTCTTTGGGAGACTGACATTAGACGGACATGGGACAAGTTTGCTTTCACTTAACTACGCTAAAATTCTTGAAGTTTGATTGCCATTTGCGTTTGATAGGACATCAGTGGAAAATGTACCTTTTCAAATTGGACTGTTCTTAATGTCGCGCCGTTATAATGCTCTACTTTTAAATGAGCCGATTTACTTTGGAACCTATCTTGTATTTGTATGACGCCATGTAAATAAGACTCTAAAGAGGAAGAAGTGAAGGGAATTTCCTGGGACAATATTTGGAAATTATATCATTTTCAGTTACTAGGGATAGCTGTTAACAGTTGAACTGACGATTCGAATTTCACCTTTGCTTGTCGTTGGCGGGGGGTTATGAGTATATGAATAAGAAAGGGATAGTGGATGATGAAATCAGCTAAATTACTTTGACTCTAAGTCATGTCGACGAATTCATTATCATCGAGCGAGTTGTGGCAGTTAAAGAGAAGAAGAAAAATGCAAATTGTATATTTTTTTGTTATGAGTAGATTGACTAATGTATTATGCGATTTAAATTAAGCACACTTTAATCGCGCTTACTATAATTGCAGTGTATTTTAAATTTTCCGAATTGCCATAAATAATTGGGCATAACAACAATTCCTCAAAAGTACTTAACGTAAAATAAATTCACAAAATTTTACACAATATTTTTTGTTTTTTTTTTTTTTTGCTTTTTTTCTTAATTTATTACAAAATTCTCTTTAACACTTTCATTGCGCAATATTCAAACAGCATTCGTTTTATTGAAACGGTTTTTTTTTATTTTTTTTATATATATATATATATATTTTTTACTTGGGATATTTTTTTTTTTGTTTTTGTTTGTTTTTTTGCAAAATCACTTTACATAGGAATTGGTGACAAACGAGACTTCATTGGATTTGGTCAATTTAGAGCCGCATGCTTTATATCGTATTATGGTATTAACACACGGCAAATATGGTAACTCATTGCCATCATCGATGTTATTAATAAATACCACAGAAATGATCAGCAATCTGAATGGCTCAAACAAATCGCAAGGTAAGTACAAACATTAAAAATGTAAGCGCGTGATCAATTTTAATTTATCCATATATGTATAGAATCTATACAAGTATATATCCTTTTATTGCATGATTTGTAACTTAGAAATTTATGGTGCACCGTCACCACCACACGCATTGGCCATCGTTGCTCATAGTGCTACCTGGATGCAATTGACGTGGCAACCACCGGAATATTCGCATCCTCATGAAAAAATCACTTATAGGTATGCTTTAAATTAAATTAGAACACAACCTATGTGCGCAAACACATTGGCAATGTGGCGGCACATTTAATTCAACTCTTAAAAACTTTTCATTATTCCTGGCAATAGCGGGTATTCGTTATATGTCGACATACAGTTTAAAGAGTTCAGAAACTTTATATAATATATGTGTACGTGTATGAGTACATTTTTGACAGCCGGTTTATTATATGTTAATTCGGAGAAAGTTAATTACCGTTCGTTTCTCATATTATTTAGAACAAAAACTTAATAAATTGTTTAAAAAAAAAAAAAAAACAATTATTATTATTATTAATATTATTTTTTTTTTTTTTATATAAAAAAATATATCCTTTCTCTCTTCAGACTATTTATTAACTTTATTCGAAGTTTTTGTTTTGTTTTCCACGTGTGCACATCTGCATATGTATTTTTGCACATATATCATCAAAAATATTTCATTTTTATATTGTGTGTTTGAGTTTGTTGAACGTATTCTCAGAGTTTATCACAAGCCTATGAAAGCGGAAAAATTCAATAGAATTGAAACCAAAGTAGCCTGGTTACGGATGAATAACCTTAAGCCCAGTTCACAGCATATACTTTATGTAGAGGCCGTAGGAGAAAAAGCAACGTCACTGCCCTCTGAAACATTAGTAGCATGGACAGATCCAGCATTGCCGGCATTTGTCGATGTAAGTTTGTGGAAAAAAAAAAAAACAAGCGAACGAAAAACTATGATATCTCTTTTCAATTCAATCTATAGCCACCGACCGTACATCCTGCTGACAATATTCCCGAAGGGGGCTCTATGACTATTTTGTGTTTGGCTTTGGGTAATCCAGCTCCTACAATTTCTTTGTATGTGGGTGGTCATTTGGTGAGGCAGGATACTTCACGACATATGGTTACTGTTATACATAATGTAACGGCAGATATGGAACATGTTTCATGTTATGCCGATAACGGTTATGGTGTACCTATGCAAGCCACTAGAAGAGTTAATATATGCTGTAAGTGATGCGCGCAGACAACAATTATTTTATTTAAATGGCAAAACTTTTTTTTTTTTTTTTTTAATTTTATTTTTTGAATTTGGTCGTGAAAAAAATTTCAGATGCACCGAAAATACAGGCGGCCGGTATTACAGTCGCCTCTGTAGGCAACGAAGTTGAGTTGCGTTGTATGGTTGATTCCAAACCGGCTCCTAAGACTATATTTTGGCGGGATCATGATGGCCGCATACCCGTCATCCAGGGCGGCAATTATGATATTTCTATGCGAACAAATGAATCACGTCCCACTATATATACTATGGTTTTGCGGATTTATAAACTTCAAGCGACCGATGTCGGTGATTATTTTTGCCACGCTGAAAATCCTTACGGTTCTGCCACAATACCCGTCTCAGTTCGCATACGTAACACTCCCGCTCTCAATCACAATGTTTCTGAATGCTGTTCTCAAATGAATGTTTCGTCGGCCTGCCGTAGTGCCTGCAGCTATTACGTTGATATTGATGCTATAGCTGATAGACCCGAATGTATAACTGAATTCGATAAATTGATGAAATGTGCTGCGGACGGTTCTGATCATCGCACTTGTTGCGCTGATGGCAATGTGCCGCGAAAATGTCTAAATTGGTGTAGAGGAGAACCGGTGCGTTCTAAAGAGATTTGTAGTCTACAGTACGCTCGCACTATTGTAGGATGTTTTGAATCGAATCGCGATCGTCTGCCAGGACCACCGGAAAACATAGCTGTCAGTGTCGTCTCAGATAGTGAAGTGATTATAAAGTAAGTGTCCAAAAATGAAGAGATATTCTTCCATAAAACAAAAATCAATACATTTTAGTTAAGTACTTAATTTTCAATATATATATATATATATATAATGCCTGCTGAGTAGAGTTCTTTGCAACTGCTAAATGAAATTCCGCCAAGCTAACTTACGCTTAGCAATTTCATATTTTAACTATGAAATAAGCAGATTTTCGCTGATAAACACAAAAATAGAGAAAGAAGTGAAAACAAAATAACGGAAAACTATTGTTAAAGTTAAGTTTGTAAGAAAAATTTTAAGGAATATGGAAAAACAATTGTAAATTTGTCTGGCGAAATTTTTGCACTGAGGATCTTTGTTATTCATTGCTGTTGGAAAGAGAACGAATATAGTAATTAAATAAAAACAAGCTCTCGTATTCTCTACTTATAAATACAGATGGGATCCCCCAACCAAGAATCCAAATGTTGTCGATGGCTATCGTATCTTCTACCATGAAGCCGCTATAATGGGTAATGATGCAGCTGTGGCCTCTGCAAACAATGAGCCAAACGATTCGTTGCTTAGCAACGCAACAAGCATGCAAATGGGTAGTAATGTAACCTTGAGCACGAATGGCGGCGGTGCTGGTGTTGGCAGTAGCAACGAAGTGAGACGTATAGACGTCAAAGAAACGAGTGTTAATATCGATGGTCTTAAAAGAGATGTTTTGTACGAGTTGGTTGTTAAAGCTGGCAACACATATGGTAAGTGCATTTTATTTTAATACCGTTTCATTCTTTACCGTTGTCAAGTTATGTAATACGTAAATTTGTTTTAATCCAAATTTGTCGTCTATTGTCCGCTTTTGTGTTTAGGTGCTAGTGTTTTAACGCAACCGATCAAATTCACACTTGGGGACCATCATGTTACTTCTGCCACAACATCATATTCGCATGTGGGTACAGTTAGTGGTATTGTAGCCAGCATTTTGGCCATAATGCTGGCGGCAGCTGCTATCATATTCTATAAGAGGCATCGTACCAGCAGCAAAGCCAGCTCAGGGGTGGCATTTGAGAATCCCACTTACACTCGAGGTTTAGAACAAGTACAGGTAAGCGAGAAAATAACTAAAGTGCATTATTTATGTGGCCAAATTAGTTGGATTATGTAGGCGCAAACGTGGCGTGGGCAATATGGACGGCAAATTTAAAAGAGTAAAAATTTAAATACATTGAAAACTGTGAATGTGAAAAAAAAAAATTAATTCTTATATATTTATTAGACTTGAAAGTCTTAATTTATTTTTCTTTTTCCTAAGATAGACTTTTTTTGCTTAAGAGAGAATGCAGTTTGCTTTCTCGTTGCGCGTCTTGCGATAAACAGGCAAATCCTTATGACAACAGATATGTTACATACGCTATAAATAGTCGTTGTTTCTAAAAGTATGTCCATACTCGGTTTGTTGGTTTATAAACCAAAGAATTTTTTACTAATTATTGAAAATTGTTGCTGCCAAGTTTTCAAAATGAATAAATTTATTGGACTTTTATTAGATTGTTTAAAAAATGCAATGCGTAGTGCGGATCTCTCTCTCTCTCTCTCTTTCTTTCTTTTTATTTGGGGAAAGGTAGCAATTGTTATGATGACGAAACAATGGAACAATGCGGAATTTACGTGTGTCAAAGATGGTAAAGGAACAGCTGAAGATGAATCAGGTAAACCATCAACCCCAGCCGCTAATGAAAAAACCAATAAGAGTCTTTTTAAATAAGCTTAAACAACTGCAACCAGTCAGATTTCTAAATATCTCTCACACAGTGACGCAAGGATCAGCATATATAGAAGCCAGACATTCACCTTACTGTGGGATATTTGCACTGACAATATTATATTGTTTAGGTGAAAGATCCGATTCCTAAAGACAACCTGCGCTGACTGAAATGGGGTGGGAAATGAGCAGACTCAAATATATGTTAAAGCTTTGTAGAATTTTAACAATTTGAATAGAAAAATTTTGCTCGAGAATTTCGTAAATGAGTTCATTGTGTCAAACTGGATCGAAAGCTGTTTTGATGTCGAGTAAAATCATTTTAGTTCATCTTCCAGAATAATGCTTTGTGTTATGTTCCCTTCTGAATCCAAACTGTTGCAAAGAAAGGATATTGTTGTCATCAATGAAGGAAGTCAGCAAGCTTATCAGCCTGTATGCATAGGGCCACATTCTAAAACTAAGGATTAGAACCACTTTTGAAGATTTAAATATTCACGAAAAGTAATACAACTTGAGACAAGGGTTTTTGATGCTTGTTAAAGAGTAGACTCTTTTTTTAGGTAACTGATTTACATAGAGGTTACTAATAAAATCAATGTCAGGCGATTTGTTTTTCTTTTTTAAGATTTTATGTTATTAGAGATTTTTTCGACCTTTGGAAAATAAATGCAAGGTGACGTAATAATAATGGTGTCAATGATGTCGAATAATAATGTTAGCAACTTTGCTGATACAGTTGAAATAATCGTGACTGAGATTACAAGTATTCTACGAAAATATTACATCTGCCTTATTGATAAGGAAAGTAGTTAGTGTTTTAAATTTCAAGACATGTTTAATTTTGCTTGTAGCAGTCAATTGCATTGTTCCAAATAGGACATGCATTTTTCTTTAAAGAGAAGATCATAGAAATCCAACGTTGATTTCTATACATTTCAGTTTCTTTTCGAATTCGAAAATATATCAGTTGAATGTGATCAACTCTAAAGCGCATCTGTTCAGGAAAACCAAGGGCTTTTAAATTTTTACTTAGACAACATGAAGTATTAGCAACCGCGATCGAAACAAGGGGAGACTTTAGGATAGTAAAACGAAACCATTAAGTTTACTGATTATTTTTGTTAAAAGCTCAAGAGCTTAAAATAAACACAAACGTATGCCAGTACGTTGTTACATCATAACTCGATTTACAAGAAGAAGCGCGTAAAAAAATCAATCAAACAGATCATTTTAAAAATACCATAATCGCCTGACACGGCTACGAGTGACCATTCCTGCTCGTTATGTGATAATCGTTGTAAGCTAATAGAAGCCATCAAAGAGAGTTCTGTTGCTATGTGAAAAGATGGAAACACTCTAATTTATAAACTAACAAACCGAACAAACTTTCCTTCGGATATTAATGACAGTTGCGTTAATGTGCCAAAAAAAAAAAATTTATATTGACATTTAAGGCACAAATATATTTAAAATAAAAGCCTCTTATTCCTTTTTTTTTTTTTTAAGTGTTACATTTATCACATCACTCAATAAGTCTCCGGTGTAACTTGTTGTTTTTTTTTTTGGCAATTTTGTTATTCAAGTACACTTATATATACATAATAACCGTCTTTCTTGACTTTTGCCTTTTTAGTTCCTTTGGGCGGTTTTCACTGTTTGCTCTCCACTCGGCTGATTGCCGATTCGACTCTGAAGTGTAGTGACGATTCGATTTTTCCTCCAAAGTCAGTCAAATGAACAAACGCGACATCCACTTCGAACAGACCTTTCTCGTTCATACAAAATGATGGGTGGGCTGATTTTTGATGTTTTTAGGGCGTCAGCTATCTTACTTAACTTGACTTTTCGGTCTTTCAAAATGACTTTGTTCACTTTTTTATAGATTTTGCAAAGACAGCAGAATTCGGGCGTTCGGTAGCATCCGCGTTCAAATGACTTTATTTAAAATTAGCTAACAAGCCAAAATTTTATTTTTCCTACACACACGGGTTGCCATAATATCTTTTAAGCAAATGGTGATTGTGAGCTCATCGAAAAATATTGTTTAATCAATACGAATATTCGGCTTTTTCTTTGCCAGAATTTTTAATGGTTTGCATGATGGGAACATTACAAAAGGAGCGTCAATAACACTACTGTAACTTGTAAACAAATGGTTAGACTATTATGAAGTTTATATCATCATCATATATCATTTGAAGGTCGCTAGCGATATCCATTAATTATATGGGACTGTTCACAATGTCGTTATATATGTGTCAGACCGAAGACTTATTGAGTGATGTGTTATTTGCCATGTTGATTGAAATTACGCATCTGCACGTATTTATTTCGCGTGTTTCTACATGTTTTGTGCCTATGTATTTGTAAATTGTTTAGTCATCTAAAGGAATAATATATTTTTCAAATTTGTTGTACTTTGAGGCTAAATTGTATTGCTCCAATTCGTTTGTGTAACCCGATTGATTTGGATTACGCGACCAACTTTTTTGACAAAATTGTGCCAAATTTGATAGAAATTTACAATTATTAGCGTGGAATTAAAAACTGTTACATTTTAATTGGTATTCGTTTATTCGAAATTAAAAAAAAAAATTAAATCATAAAAATGCATAATAAAAAAAATTTAGATTCAAAGAAAATATTCATGTAGTAGGAATTGCTTTCCATTGAGCCCACTGTTCGCGTTTCAAGTCGAACTTTTGGTTTTCAAAATTTTTAAACATTAAAATTTTTTAATATTTTATGTGAGACGAAATTTGTGTTTGTATTAATTTTTTATGCACTTATTATATATAAAACACAATAAAATCGCTTTTGCAATGGCTCAACGTAACGACTGTGGTATAACAAATTTTATGTTTTTGTATATGTTATACATACATATATATATATATATATATATATATATATATATATATATATTTATGTGTTTACGTGTGCTCAACAAATAACGAAAATTATTGATGTAGTTACCTACCGTGACATCAGCTTTAACTCATACGGGTGTCAATGGTAACACGAACTCTATACGAACGCCTGCCACAAGCAATGCTGCATTTCAGACGGCCACATCAAATATGTTAACGTCATCGGCACCGACGGCAGCCACAGCATCAAAAGCATCTCTCTCAGCAGTTTCAACAACAGGAGCAACGGTGGGGACATTTATGCGAAATGGCTTAGATGGCACGGATGGCCATACTCAATGCAATGAAGTTAAACCCACAATTTATGAAGAGCTCAAACTTGGCCAAGAAGGTGCGGGATTTAAAAAACTTGTGCCATAAAGTCATACGCAAGCATATATCCTTCGTTCCACATTCCCAAATACAAGGGCTAACCCGCACAGCAATCATCTCCTCTTCCCACCCTGCTCCACCATCGTCCGTATTAATATTTGTATATATAGGCAAGTATGCAGCTATTCGTGTATACAGACATATTATGTGTGTGCGTGAGTGTATGTGATAGAAAGAGAGTGAAATAGACAAAGTATTTAGAAATTTATATAAAGAGAGTTTAGAATTAAAAAAATGAAAAATAATAATAATAATAATAATAATAATAATAATGACAACAATTAGTTTTTGCTTTAAAATACCAAAAAAAAAAAAAAAAAAAAAAAAAAAAAAATTAAATAAAAAAAATAATTAAAAACAATCCTAAGTTAAAACGAAACAAGAAAAATTTTTGCTTTAAAAATGTTGGACGCATTTACACACATATACTTTCATATATACGCGCACACGTTTGTACAAAAATACTGTAATAATGCGTTGTTAGTTTGTATGTGCGACAGCTGTAAGATTATGTTTTCGTATTGCTATTGTTTATGTTTCTGTTATTCTAAGTTTGTCTAAACCCTTGCTCTTCCATGCATGGCTTTGTCTAATACAACCCATTAACATAAGATTTAGGATGACGTATAGACGAACATATGCTCATAGCTTCGGCATTTGCGTGAACATTCACTTCTAAATTCTCTTCATTTAGCTTTAAGTTTCAGTTTTATTTTGCTTTTTTTTTCTCTTTTTTTTTGCATTATGAGTGAGTGTTTTTGGTAACCGCAGATATGGATGGAAAATATCTCTCTTGAAAACCACTCAAGGCTATATTAATAAAAGTTTTACGAAATAATTGGTCTTTGAAGATTGTGGCGGATTCATTTTTTGTTTCTGAACTAACGAAACTTATAACGCGATTTGTCAAATAAATTATTATCATGTTTTGCGAATCTTTTTTACCGAAAAACTATATAGATATGGATTTTTATAGAATATAGGCAGCTAAGAAGAAATTCTAAATCGCATCGGAGCAATTCTACTATGATCACGGCAATTTTTCTAGGCCCTTAATCATGTGCTTATAGAAAAGAAATACTTTTAATCCAAGAAATTTAATTAAATTTTTTTTTATTTTTTTTATTTTTTTTATTTTATTTTTTTTTTTATATATCATAAGTCGTAGTAGAATTGAAGATTGCTACTTTCACAAATCGCAATAATATAATCGCGTAAGTGTAAATCTTTAATAGCACGTTCACAATGACAGAGTTCACTTGACATTATTAGCAATTACGTAAGTTTCAAGTGATTAATTGATTAATTACGACTTATCACCATATGATTTTTGTCTGCAGCAGTAATGTAATCGATTTCAACATAATTTCATTGAAATTATTTTTTGTTGATTTCATTTGTTGTTTTTCATAACTAAAGAGTGATTGTTCGCTTAATTTCAGCTAAAATTACGTAAATGTCTAAAGTCACACCTAATGTGGGATGTGCTTGCATTAAATTCCTATCTAAGGATAATACTTTGTATTCTATTTATTGAAAAAGAGGTTACAAAATAAGTGCAGGCATTGAATAATTTCCCCGTTTAGAAATAGTGAATCTACGACGTCTGGTATTAAATTATTCGTAAGTTTTTGAAAGCATTAATTATTCATTAGTGGGCATAATGTTTCTAACATGTTGCTTGAGGATATTATATGGGATTGAGAATTTACTTGTTGTATCAATCCTTGCGATTTTATTTCTTTATATTCTACACCGCCTGTGGTAGGTACAAGGTTATATTAAGTTTGTACGGACGTACATAACGCGCAGAAGGATTTGGCATAGATCCACCCTGTTATTATACGGATCGATTCAGAAAGTGATTCTTAACCTTATCTGTCTGTCTGTGATTGTGTTAGTTTTTTGTCTTCGACTTACAGGTCTTGATTTACGAGATATTTTGATGGGATTCGGTGTACTAATCTGTTTTGGGCCAAGAGAGAACGTCACTGAAAATACATTCGATCAAGTCTCTTTTTTGACTACTTATTTTGAAAGTTCGTTATATCACAATTTGTGGAATGTTGTACGGTATGTGTATTTCAAATGAATCAGTTTGGTTTTTTTTTTTTTTTTTTGAGATTTCTGAAGTGTTAGAACAGAAATGTTCCGTAATATTTTTACTGCGCTTATTACATATAAATTTTTGATAATTTTCACAACAATTCTGATATAGTATTCAACAAATAATTCACAATTCTATGTGTGATTTTTTTCTGTCTCTTATTCTTTTATTCATGTCACACAAAGGCATACCAATTTTTTTCTCTTTCATCTTAACAAAACTTTATGTTACGATGTTCGATGTGTGTGCGTGTTTGTGTATGTGTGTGTGTGTGTGTGTGTGCGTGTGCGTGTGTGTGGGTATGTGCCGAGCGCTACTCCATTGCCAACTTACAGAAATATTAAACAATCCGTATGATTAAGAAAGATAACTCAGATTACATGTACGAATGTACGAATACGGTACGTGGACTAGTGTATGTATATATTCTGCTTCTTTTTTTTTTACTTTTCTTTTTTATTTACAAGTTGTTAAGTGCAAATGTTTTTGTTTTGCTTAATTTTTTTTGAGAATCTCTTGGTATTCATATTTGTAACTTAACATGCATCCGTACACAATTATGTATGTATATAAATGTATTTTAAATATTGTGCTCAGTTATTTAAGTAGTTGTTGTTTTGTTTATATATATACATATATGTGTATATATATGTTAGGTACACATTTTTTGTAATTTAACATTTATTAATAAATTATACAAAAGTGAAAACTTTCCGTATAGTTTTTGTTTTAAATGTTTTACTTATTCATGATCTTACCCGTATTCTGTTATTTACCGATAGATTTTTTTTTTGAATGTAAATGCACACAACAAATATTGCTCACGATACAAAACAGTTGCAATTTTTCTCTGAAATGAAAACAACAAAAAAAAAAAAAAAAAAAAACGCGATTATTAGCAGAAATTTTCATGGTATTTTGAGAAAAAAGAAAACTCTCCTATGGCGATATCGTGAACTAATACTAATCGGACTATAAATACGTTATAATTGTATTTCATATCTGTATTTCATGTTACCGTTGCCTTTGCCGTTACTCCTTATACTTTGGTATAGAATTCAAGAATTTTATAATCGAAGCATCGTAAATTTTAAACAATTCAGTGTTTAAATCGTTGTTTTGATTCGCTTTATTTAAAGCTTAAAATCTAAAGAAGGTATTATCGTTGCCGCCAGATATTTATAATGAAAACTTGCAATTGTTTTGTAACTTACTGTATATGTATATGATAACCCTCTATATGTTATATATAAACTGTTGAATATTTTAGGAATTTCGTATTTGTATATGTATTGTATAAGAGTTTAACGTCGAGAAATGGTTTGACATTTTTTTCATATTTTTCTTTTTTAAAATTTATTTTAAAGAAGAAAGAGAAAAACTTTTCTTTAAAAAATGAGGGAGAGAGAGAGTGAAGAGAAATCACAATATTAAATGTGAACATTTGTCTTATACGGCTCTTTAACGAAAAAGCGTTTTTCTTAAGCTAATTGAAAGAACATCTTGTTTATTTTTAAAAAAAGTTTGTCATAAAATTTGTAAAAAAGATTTTCTTGTAGAATTATTTTGATGTTTGAATTAATTTTTGATTGGTTCCTTTAATCACATGTGTATATATTAGTGTTTTATATATACACCACTAATACTAATATATATATATTACTACACTAATTTATAGATAGAATACTAAGAAGATAATATTCACTTAATAGGAAAGGTTGTCTTAGGTATTTACAGTAAATTAAGGTTCGACTAAAAATTTGCGAAATATCGGGCTTCGACAAGAGCGTTTCTACGCACAAATGTCATCTTGTAGATGAAATTTAAATGATTATGATTTGGCTCCTGTCCGTTTACTTAGTTTATGCCAATAATAAAGTCAGGGATAGCGTATGGAAAAAGCCTCCTCATAGATAAAAAGAAAGATTGTGTTAATGAGAAAAATTCTTTAAATTTAAAAGAGTTTAACTTATTCGAAGTTGGTTCCAAGAAAACGTTGGCAACGAAAGCTGTTGGTTGTTTTTAACAAAATTTCAGTTAAAAATATCCACCAAAAAAAAAAAAAAAAAAAAGAGAAAACAAACAAAAAACAAAAACTTAACCAAGTATTAAAAAAAAAAAAAAAAAACTAAATTTGGTTTATTTAAGATTGGTGGATGTGTGCGGGTACATGCTTACGCCACACAGGCACATCACACGCAGGCAAGCAGATTCCTTCATTTTTGAAACAATTACAAAACTTTTTCAACAAATAATGTGATACCGGAATTTCGGCAACAATAACAACAATGATGACAAGAATAACAGCAACAACGGCATAAGCTGCATTAAAACAAGAGAAAAAAAAAGGAAATGCTTGTAAAAATTTTCGTGAAGTTTTAACTCAACAGCTACCACAATCGGCTAATAAACTGTAACACAATCAACCAAACGGCAGATAATCAAATCAATTTTAATGGAATGACTGAATAAAAGATAGAAGTAATTTGTTTGTGTGTGCACGTTTATAAAGAACTTTTTGTTTTAATAAAACCGAAGAAAATAATGGTTAGAGTGAGTGCCAAAGGCAGAGACAGAGAGAGAGAGAGAGTGAGAGAGTGAGAGTGAGTGTGTGTGTGTGTGTGTGTGCCTGTGTGTGTGAGAGAGAGAGATAGATAGAGATCGGTATAGAAAATTAAATTATTGTGTAAAGAGAAGAATAATAAATTTGCGCATCCCTGAAAATATGCTTTGGTTTTTTTTTTTTTAGTTTTGTTTTAAATTCAAAAATGTATATAACTTGTCACAGTCAGCTGATAATGAATTTATTATTTATAATTTCATTACTTCTCATACAAGAAAAACCCATGATCCCAATCAAGCATAACCTTTAACATTGTGACAGTCCGTGTCTTTATCTATTAATTCTATCATAATGGTGTCTTTATAGCTTTATAATGTGAAGGTGAAATTAATGTTAATTTACAAACGATTTGCAAGATACTTATCATAATATACTTTCCCATTGCTCTCATACATTTCAGTTTCTTCAACATAGCGTAGACAACGCCTTTGTGTACAGATATTTCTAACATTATAGACGCATTCTCCTCTAAACATCTCACGGCTAACTTTTTAGCTGCATGTTGGTCTATTACTCTTTTTTTCATATTTCCAGATATAGCCGAGCGTTGGTGTGTTATTCAGTAGCGTAGACATTCCTTTCCCGATGATTTGTAGAGTATTAGTGTTGCGATAATAAACATAATGCAGCAGAAAAGTTTACCGAAAGTGGAACCGATAAAGGACTTCAAACATGTAGAGGATTTTTGAGAAAGATATCCCGGTACTATCATGACAATGTAATCTCTGTCTTAGTTTAGACCAGCAAAACGAGTATATTTTCGATTTTTATTGAGATTTGGACGCTTTAGTATTTTTCAATTTCAGTTTTGGTTTTAGAACGTAACCGTTTATGCAATTTTTTTAAACGCTTATCTATGGTGTAATCAAACGGTAGGGCGTATTGATAATTGGCAAAATTGACCTTCTTACTTCCCTTGCATTCTGTGCCGCTTAACAATATTTTCAATTAGATAGTTCTTCAAAAAGTTATGTATCGTGTGTATAAAGAATTTGATTACACTTATAATCGTTACAACATGGCAAAGACTAGGGCTCAGGCACTTCTGCGCATCAAGCTTCAAGTGCTTAATAGAGAAGAGCGCAAAATTTTTGTATATCTAATTAATGCTATACAATAACGATGCAATGATCGTTTTTAGTAAGTTTCAGAATTTTGATGTTAGTTTTCAATTCACTCAGGGTCGTATAATTTTCGTGAAAAAATGAAATTGTCGACGCGCAAACAGGCGGGTTTCACTTGGAGCGAAAGTACGAATTGATTTAGAGCGGTACTAGTCTTTTTATTAATGGTAATAGTAACGATTTTAGACGTCATTACATCTTTGTTACTGTTTCCAATACCTGCATAGGCACATAAAAAAAAAAAAAAAAAAAAAAAAAAAAATTTAAATAAACGAACCTAATCAATTCAAACGTCAAAATACATTTTCAAACAAGGATAAGAACTCTTTTTCCGCTATTAGGGAATGTACTTTAATTATGTTTAAATGAGGAAAGAAATAATCGATTTTCGGCAATGATGCAATCATTTTAATTTAATTTGAAAAACATTTGCTATATTGAAAAGAATAGCAAGGAAAGCAATTAAATAAATTTTGAATATGTGATGCGTTTGAATAAAAAAAAAAAAAAAAAAAAAAAAAAAAAACTAAACTAAACTAAACTAAACAAATAAATAAGAAAATAAAATCCGTCATATTCTACATATTTGTGTAAATAGATTAAAGTTAATTTCGTGCTTATGTAATGCAATGCCTCCTGCTGTGTGCTCACCACCCATAAAGTGAATATAGTTTTATAAACTCTCACAAAAAACCTCAATTACTATTATTATCAATGTTAAAGCTCTCTGTGCTAATTAGTTAAACTAATCTTATAGAAGAACAAAAACACAAACAAAAAAAAAAAAAAACAAAAGAAATGTAAACTTAAACCAATAATATACTATGTAGTTCAATTATACAAAAAATTTATGGTCAATAAAATGAAATTTTTATTATAAAAAAATACTACAAATTTTCATTTTTAATTGCGTCACAAGCGCGTTTGTAGTATTACGCTTCTGCTTATCCTCTGTTGCTTCCCGGTTATAAAATATTTATTTTTCATAAAAATCAGAGTTTTTCATTCGCATTACATACACATACGAACACCAGTATCTTCTATTTTATCGACTTTTACCCCATCCAAGCATATAACTTTGTTACAAATATACTTCAGTGTTTGTTTTTTTTTTTTTTAGTTTCTTTATCATCTATTTTATTCATATTTTTATTGTTTTTCCTGTGGCAAAATCCATTTTTTATGCAATTAACCTAAATGAAATTTGTTGATTTTTTTTTTTTTTTTTTTTTCTATAAAAAACAGACAGCATGCGAGTTAAGGTCCAATGGGTGAGTATGTAAATAAAATTAAAATTGAATTACAAGCTTTATTAGCATAAAATAATTCAGTAATATTTGATTATACTTATATTATAATAAACTTGGAAGGGATATTTTAAGATCGTTTTGATAAATTAAAAGAAAAAACAATTTTTTTCATGCAGTTTCTCTTTCTTAACTCTTCTTAAGAGATAGTCAATAGGTATGTGTAACTTTTGATTTAAGGACCTTTGAAGTGATTGCAGGCCTTCATGTCCTTGCAAGCAAATCATTGGCGTCGTTATCTTTATCTACATGACATTAGTTATTTAGCTCGCAAGTGAACATTAGTAATGGCGCTCTTCTTTGAACTAAAGCATTCGCAATCTGTATTATCACTAAAGACACGATATACATTCATTGTCTCTAATTAGAGAGTCAAACGGCTACAAAATAAGTCCAGGGCTGCAAGTTTATTATGAAATTTCATTTTTATTGCCCAGAAATATGCAGATGAAGGTTGCTTTGCAAATTACAACATTTGTAAAGTCTAGAGAGTTTTACAAATATAATCTTAATTTATAATCTTCAAACTTTAGAACTGTCACGATCATTAAGATTCATCATAATTTCAACACAATTTCATCACAATTTTTATACCGCCTTTATCAAAACGTAAGGAGAAAGATTTTCGTTTTTGTCTACAACAGCTAGGAACTAATATTAATCAGGCAGTGCTTCGAGGATTGGAAAAACAGCTGGCAGAAGTGTATTGTAACCCAGGAGGGATTACTTTGAACGGGACTAAAGAGATATTGATGAATAAATAAATATTTTTCCAGGAAAATAAGTCCGCTTTTTTTTTTTAAAGAAACCTCGTATAAGACATTGAGTTTATTTTGACAATTATGTAAAGAATAGTCTTAGGAGAAATGTTATACGGTATTTAATTGCTGGCATTGTTAGACCATAATAATTTAAAATGTTCGTTTAATGTTAGAGAGTTGTGGACATTAATTTCACTGTATTGGAAAATAATTTTTTGTTTTCTTATACACAACAGGCCCATAATTTTTAAATGGAAGAAAAGAAACTCGTATACGAAACGGTTCAGCAACGTTGAAAGCCGTCAATGAGATATTGTTAACGAAACGTAAGTTTAAGGGAAACCTAATGGCTGCCGGCATTTTCTAAGCATCCCAAAATGGTTTGTATGTTTCTCTCATTATTATCATAAATAACTTAATATAAAATTTCCCTATTCGTTTTGTCAATAACCGCAAGCTTTGAGTCGAAATCAAAAAAGTAAGCACACTAATGAAATAGTTCTAAGAAAATTTTTCTTATTTCACTTTGTTAATATATAAATTTCGTAATGTGTTGTTATAATTTTGTATATTTAATTTAGTTATATAGATACTTAATGTTTATAAAATGTTTTCATATAAAAACGAATAATACGAACGAATAGAAATAAAAAGCGATAACGATTTATTAAAAATGCTTTATCATTTATTAGATTCCATATGTTCGAACGGATATAAAAGAAACAAAGCATAATGCAAAATTATATTGGCGGACAATACCGATCGCTAAATTTCCTTTAACACTTCGCCCAGCACAATTCTCTCTTCATTTTCGTGATCAAGTACCAAAACTTATACAGTATTTCTCTCTAAAGGCCCACTTTAAAGATCAAGTCAAGTTTCATGTCAAATTAGTATTAAGAAACAATTTTCATTATAAATCATTAAAAAGTAGACCTTTCCGCCATACGAAGACTTCGCTTTTTTTAAAAAACTTTATATTCGAAAAAGTTTACAAAATTCATTCATTCGAAAAAAATTTGCTCGCAACAATGCCGATACTAAACGATTTTTGTTGAGAAATTTCGAAAATGCAAGTGTTTTATGGGGACTGGCGGCAAAAGTACTCGAATACACAGTTCATTTTCAATAGGATTTGTCGTCGGGGTAAAGCAAATCAGCGCGCGAAATTTTGTCAAAATGTCTTTGAAATTACGATGGGTGGGTAGGTCGTACATAGCGATACATGCCCAGGTGTCGGACTAGCTTATATTTAAATATTAAATATTGGAGAAAAAATTGAAGAAAAATATCGACAGTGTTTGGTTGAATAAATATCTAAATTACCTACACATTGGCCTAATCGGTTAATATTTTTTTTTTTTTTTTTTTAAATTGAGACGATAATCTTAGTTGTAGTAGCGTGGGTCTTATTTTAATCCAAGAATTTATTTCTTTAAACTGTGTAAATTGCAATAACAACAATAATTAATAACTAATGGTAAAAGAAAATTGTACTAGAAATATACCATAAAATTGCGCCATCCCAGCTGTTCCCTGGGAGAATCTTGAATTGAAGGCGTTCCGCGGTAGCAAGTATAATTGGAAAGAGTTTAACTAAAAAAAAAAAAAATAAAAAAAAAAAAACAAGTTTTAATTTTTTTTTAAATATGACAACGAAGTTTATCAATACATGGTTCTGACATCATTTATAGAGAACGTACATGTCAGAAGATGAGTTTTTTTTCTTTTATCGCTTGGATAGAAATAATTAGAAGCTGTAATAGCAATGCATACCGCAATGCGAAAACACTTTTTCTAACAATGAAGATTTCGTGCTTTACATGACAAATAAAGAGAATTCGCAAACAGCATTGTGTTGTGAATCCATTTTTAGAATAAATTCACGGCTAAATCCGCGCGTACCATCCACCTTGATTGCGAGACTGAATCACTTTGATGGTAAGTCGATGTATTGTGTTTGGAGTAATTAGTAAAAAGTGGCCTGTTAAAGTTTGATAAAGCGGTCGTTAATAACAAAAATAATTAATCGATTCGAAATGTTCGCTGTTCAAAAACGAGCGAAATATCAAAAAAGACAACATAAGATCATATTTTTGTATGATATCTGTCCATCCATTCGAATATCAAAATCCGTTCGCGATACATTGCAAGCATTTGATTGGGAAGTGCCAGCCCATGAGGCTTAGTCGTCAAACGCCACTCCTATTTATTGTCCACGTAATTCTTAGGCATTCATGATAATTCATCGGCCTCAAAAGAGCAACGGATAAGTGAAAAAAATTCATATTTTTTTTTATAACTTTCATACACTAAACGTTCATTTTCTATACGAATATTCCGGTTTCATATTTACTTATGTGACTTCATTCCTAATGTCTTGTTTCTTGATTACAAGCTCTCAGCCTCATATCTACGCATTGGTCGTCGCAATGAATATACACTAACATTGTTTTATTTGGAAATGCATTTATATACGCAAATAAGTAGCTTATAAGTCATGTCCGTGAGTGTATTTCGGAAGTGCCAGAAATCAACAGGTAAGATATTGATATGTAACTTTTCGGTGCTTTTGGATAACGAATTTTTTTTTTTAATGTACTCCAAAGCGTCCGTTTAGTTAGTAAGAAGAAAAAAAAAAAAAAAAAATTTTTTTTATCTGAAAAATTTGCAGTGCCGTTACGTTTACGTTACCGTGGTCATTCATATTCTCTACAAATTTTCTAAAACTTATAATTTCTGTAAGAAATGAATGTGTTTAAACTAGTTTTAATTACTTTAAAATGATTATGGAATAAACTGTAGTTTTTAGTAACCGAATACTAATAACTAATTTCGTATTCCGTCCTTCGCTCTTAGAAACAATTAGATACCTTATAAGCTTAACGGTATACATTTACTATTCAGTTTCAAATATTTGCCGGTTTTTTTTTTTTTGCATTTGCCATAATGTCTAGCTATAAATATTATATTAGTGTGTGCCTTGTGAGAGTTAATTCAATTAAGTTTGAAATAATCATAAGAAGAGAAAAACTTCAGTAATTCTCATATTGATTGCTTTAAGAGCTCGAAGATATAATAATTACAACAATAGGACATTAAATATTATATATATACATTGTTACAAAGATAAAAATTACATTACTGACAATCATAATAAATTGAATTGCGTAAAATTGAATATGTATTTGTTCGAGATTTTTCCTCTGCTTCGATATTTTGTGCTATTCTTGTGATTTTTTTCATAACAAAGCTGAAAAAGCGCTGTATGATCTGAGTACAATTAAGCTTGATCTATTTAAAAATTCCAAATCGGTTTATACTTTCATTAATTCCGAATGGGAGGCAAGCGACTTTGCAACAAGCGACTTTCCGTCTCGATAATAATGAATCAGCTGATCGCTCTGTTATTGGCATATTTTCCAGAGAAATTTTTCAGCAGATTTATGCGCCAAATAACTCCACATTTTTCAATCATTCTCACGTTCTATTTCTCTCCGAATTTCGTAATTTTTAAAAAGAAAGAGATAACATGGTTTAATGATATTAAAACTCTTGTATTCAACAAGTGCGGACAGCATTTTTTAATTCATTTTCATAATCTGCCCTGGGAAGATGTATATTTTAGTTATTGAGATTTTCGACTTAATCTTACATAATGGAAATTTCCGTCCTATATGCTGGTAAAAAACGACCTTGGTCGATAATTACAATGGCATTTTCTAAGCTTAGCGCATTGCCAAAGTTATTCGATTGCGTAATAGGGCGAAGATTAATGTCCAGGATCAATTATATCCCCTGTTGAACATGGATTCATCAAAGGACAGTCCAGATCGACAAATTGTTTGTATCTCTCATGTTCAATACCCAAAGCGTTTTCCCAACTACCTAATGAAACTGATGTGATATAGGCCAATGTTAGTGAAGCGGTTGATAGGATTAACCGCAATCTGTATGGTTTCCTCCCTTATTGTCTTAATTGGAATGCTTCGAATTTGTGGCTTCGAGTTCAGAATGTGTCATATTTGTCTGTTCGATGGTTCCCCAAGCCCATGTACCTGCGTCCCATCCTTTTTTCTTTATATATTAATGACTTGCCGTCAGTCGTGCGGCATTCATTTACGACCGTATATACCGATGGTGTCAAATTGTTTCCAACATACAAGGCGTCAGCAAATTCCATTACATTGCAATCAAAATTAATTTATCTATTAAATGACGTAGCTTAAACTGTATGTTACTTAAACAGAATAATAAAAAAAAAAAAGCATTCAGTGCATGTACACTCTACACACATCTCTCTTATCTCTCTTTTTCTAAACTTCATGTGTACATATTAAATATGAAGTCGGTAAGTCGACGAGCCTTTTCGATCATGCTTCAGAATATGCTTCTATAGTGCCCTGTTCCTCCTGCCAATATTACATCCATTGAGTTCAATCCGTCGTGAAAGCATTCCAGTTTATCCAACGAATTCTTGGGTGTAATCCAAGTCGCAGTATGCTTTTGCGTGAGCATAGACAATTGCTTGTCGTTTTACCTACTCTTGTGAAACGTAGACGCATCTTAAGAACAACTTTTGCGGTCAAGTTACTGAATCGCAAAATTTGTAAACAAAGCTAGTCTAAATGTTTGATGGTAGTCCTCTTAGGCATTATTCTCTGTGTGCTTGTCTGATTCATTTTCTAAAATGCACTCCATATTGCATAGCCTTCGTTAACATCCTTACACGTTATGTTTTCATTAATTTCTGTATATATATTCTCTATTTCATAAATTATTGCTTATCATTTCAAGTTTCCTAACCTCAATTTTTACGTCTCGCCTTCATACATATCTAAACATTTCGAGCTATGTTGAAGTTTATCAATCTACATGTTTATAATACTTGTAGTTTAATGTTGTTTAAGAAATAGTGTTAACAATTAATTACGATAATAAATACAAATAATAAAAAGAAATAAATGGAAATTATATATACATGTGAGCATTTTAATTTAAATTGTAGCATACTTACTTATTTAGAAAGATACATTTATATACTTTCGTAAGATTTCGAATTATAAAATGTCGAGTCTTCACATTTCTTCCAACCAAACTACTCTAACGATACAAGCACATACTCAAATTGTCGTTGTAATACCATCCTTACCTATATCGTAAAAGAGCTTCATGAGATAGTTACGAAAATCTTTAATTAATTAATTACTTTATATGAGCGTTTTCCAGTCTTCGTGGGAGGTTATTGACTTTCTCCGTTTTAACACGGCTGGAAAGAAGTACCTAATTAATATTTATAGGGGAGAATTGAACTGAGCGCACTATCTAATTTTTTTAAAATAATTTTTGTTACTCGATGAATGAATGGTGGCGTCAGGTGCGTATAATCTCCCTAAACCAAAATTACCTTTTCAAAGGTCATCAATCAACCTGGTGGAGCTGTGCAAGGTCTTC